TCCGGGGTTTTCCCGGGAATTTGGCACCTCCTGGACGTGGAGCCGGAGGCCGGGGTTCCCCAGGAGGGTTCCCAGCAGCGCCAGGAAGGCGGCTCCGAGCGCCAGCAGCGCGCAGCGGTTGTAGAACGGCAGCGGCTCCTCCTGCGCCAGATCCTGATGGGATGGAAGGGAAAGAAAAATGGGAATATCCCGGAAAATCGTGGGAAAAATTCCCAAAGAAATCCCGGGAAAAATCCCCCCCAAAATCCCGAAAAATCAAAAAAAGTTACGGAGAAAAACCCAAAAAAATCACGGAAAAAACCCCCCAAAAAATCCCTGGAAAAATTCCTGGAAAAATCCCCCAAAAATATCCTGAAAAATTCTCCCAAAATTCTCTCAAAATTCCCAAAAAGTCCCCCCCAAAAAATCACGGAAAAAACCCAAAAATATCACAGAACAAAAACCCCCAAAAAATTCCCAGACAAAAAAAATCCCGGAAAAAATCCCCCAAAATTCCTGAAAAATTCCAGAAAAATTCCCAAAAAATCCCCCCAAAATTCCAAAAAAAGTTCTCCCAAAATTCCAAAAAAAGTTCTCCCAAAATTCCCGAAAAATTCTCCCAAAATTCCCGAAAAATTCTCCCAAAATTCCCAAAAAAATCTCCCAAAATTCCCGAAAAGTCCCCAGAAAAAATCACAGAAAAAAACTCCGAAGAAATCCAGGAAAAAATCCCAAAGATTCCCAGAATTCCGGGATTTCCGTACCTGCAGGGCGAGCGCGAGGCGCACGAGGTCGACGATGACGTCATCATTGGAATCTCCCAATTTCCCCCTCCAAAATACCCTAAAAATCCCTCAAAATTCCCCCAAAAAATCCCCCAAATCCTCCAAAATTCCCCAAAATATTCCCAAAGATTCCCAGAATTCCGGGATTTCCGTACCTGCAGGGCGAGCACGAGGCGCATGAGGTCGATGATGACGTCATGGCTGGAAAATCCCAAATTCCCCCCAACAAAATCCAAAAAAAACCCAAAAAAAATCCTCCAAAATTCCAAAAAAAATCCCTAAAAATAAAAAAAAATTTCCCAAAATTCCCCAAAATATTCCCAAAGATTCCCAGAATTCCGGGATTTCCGTACCTGCAGGGCGAGCACGAGGTGCACGAGGTCAGCGATGACGTCATAGCTGGAAAATCCCAAATTCCCCCCAACAAAATCCCCTAAAAATCCCCTAAAAATCCCCAAAATCAAAAAAATTGCCCCAGAATTCCCAAAGATTCCCAGAATTCCGGGAATTCCGTACCTGCAGGGCGAGCACGAGGCGCATGAGGTCGACGCTGACGTCATCGCTGGAAAATGCCAAATTCCCCCCAACAAAATCCAAAAAAAATCCAAAAAAATCCCCAAAATTCCCAAAAAAATCACTAAAAATAAAAAAAAAATTCCCCAAAATCAAAATCCCCAAAATTCCCCCAGAATTCCCAAAGATTCCCAGAATTCCGGGATTTCCGTACCTGCAGGGCGAGCACGAGGCGCATGAGGTCGACGATGACGTCATCGCTAGAAAATCCCAAATTCCCCCCAGCAAAATCCCCCAAAAATCCCAAAAAAATCCCCAAAATCCCAAAAAATCCCCAAAATCCCAAAAAATCCTCCAAAATTCCCAAAGATTCCCAGAATTCCGGGAATTCCATACCTGCAGGGTGAGTACGAGGCACACAAGGTCAGCGATGACGTCATCTTTGGAATATGCCAAATTCCCCCCAACAAAATCCAAAAAAAATCAAAAAAAATCCCCAAAATTCCCAAAAAAATCCCTAAAAATCCTCAAAAATTCCCCAAAATTCCCAAAAAAATCCCCAAAATTCCCCAAAATATTCCCAAAGTTTCCCAGAATTCTGGGAATTCCAAACCTGCAGGGCGAGCACGAGGCGCATGAGGTTGACGATGACGTCATCGCTGGAAAATCCCAAATTCCCCCCAACAAAATCCCCCAAAAATCCCAAAATATCCCAAAAAATCCCCAAAAAATCCAAAAAAATCCAAAAAAATCCCCCAAACCCCAAAAAATCCTCCAAAATTCCCAAAGATTCCCAGAATTCCGGGAATTCCGTACCTGCAGGGCGAGCACGAGGCGCACCAGGTCGACAATGACGTCATCATTGGAATATGCCAAATTCCCCCCAACAAAATCCCCCAAAGAAATCCCCCAAAATTCCCCCAAAAATCCAAAAAAATCCAAAAAAATCCCCAAAATCCCAAAAAATCCTCCAAAATTCCCCAAGATTCCCAGAATTCCGGGATTTCTGTACCTGCAGGGCGAGTACGAGGCACACAAGGTCAGCGATGACGTCATCATTGGAATATGCCAAATTCCCCCCAATAAAATCCAAAAAAAATCCAAAAAAATCCCCAAAATTCCCAAAAAAATCACTAAAAATAAAAAAAAAATTCCCCAAAATTCCTCATAAAATCCCCAAAATTCCCCCAGAATTCCCAAAGATTCCCAGAATTCCGGGAATTCCATACCTGCAGGGTGAGCACGAGGCGCATGAGGTTGACGATGACGTCATCGCTGGAAAATCCCAATTTCCCCCCAAAAATACCCTAAAAATCCCCCAAAATTCCCCCAAAAAATCCCCAAAAAATCCAAAAAAATCCAAAAAAATCCCCAAAATCCCAAAAAATCCTCCAAAATTCCCAAAGTTTCCCAGAATTCCGGGAATTCCGTACCTGCAGGGCGAGGACGAGGCGCACCAGGTCGACGATGACGTCATCGCTGGCCAGCTCCAGGCTCAGCAGCGCCAGGAGTCGGAAAAGGGCCTGGAAATGTTCCCGGGAATTGTTCCCTTCCCGGGAGAGCAGGAAAATGTGCCGGAAGAGCTGCGGGCCGTGCTGTGGGAACATTCCAGAAATTCCTTGGGATTACGGGGGGTTCTGGGAATTTTTTGGGATTTTTTTGGGGGATTTTTGGCATTTTTTGGGGTTTTTTTGGGGTTTTTTTTGGAATTTTTTGGGAATTTTTGGGGTATTTTTTTGTATATTTTTAGGAATTTTGGGGGGAAATTTTGGGAAATTTTTGGGATTTTTGGGGGGATTTTTGGGGGTTTTTTTTGGGAATTTTTAAAAAAATTTTTGGGATTTTTTGGGGGATTTTTTTGGGAATTTTGGGAATTTTTGGGGTATTTTTTTGTATATTTTTAGGAATGTTTGGGGGAAATTTTGGGAATTTTGGGGGGAAATTTTGGGAAATTTTTGGGATTTTTGGGGGGATTTTTGGGGGGTTTTTTTGGGAATTTTTAAAAAAATTTTTGGGATTTTTTGGGGGATTTTTTTGGGAATTTTGGGAATTTTTGGGGTATTTTTTGGTATATTTTTAGGAATTTTGGGGGGAAATTTTGGGAAATTTTTGGGATTTTTGGGGGGATTTTTGGGGGGTTTTTTTGGGAATTTTTAAAAAAATTTTTGGGATTTTTTGGGGGATTTTTTTGGGAATTTTGGGAATTTTTGGGGTATTTTTTTGTATATTTTTAGGAATGTTTGGGGGAAATTTTGGGAATTTTGGGGGGAAATTTTGGGGTTTTTTTGGAATTTTTGGGGGATTTTTTTTGGCATTTTTTGAGATTTTTTTGGGAAATTTTGGGGTTTTTGGGGGCATTTTTTGGTATTTTTTTGGGGTATTTTTGGGGGGTTTTTTTGGGAATTTTTTTTGGAATTTTTGGGGATTTTTTGGGATTTTTTTTGGAAATTTTGGAAATTTTTTGGGAAATGTTTTGGGATTTTTGGGGGATTTTTTTGGGAATTTTTTGGGGAATTTTTGAGGGATTTTTTTTTAATTTTTGGGGAATTTGGGGAATTTTTTGGGAATTTGGGGGGGTTTTTTTTCGATTTTTTTTTTAATTTTGAGATTTTGGGGGTTTTTTTGGGGATTTTTTTGGAATTTTGGGGGGGAATTTTTTGAAGGAATTTGTTTGGATTTTTTGGGGGAATTTTTGGCATTTTTTGGGATTTTTTGGGGGGATTTTTTTTTTAATTTTGGGAATTTTTGGGGTATTTTTTTGTATATTTTTAAGAATGTTTGGGGGAAATTTTGGGAATTTTGGGGGGAATTTGGGGGGAAATTTTGGGGTTTTTTTGGAATTTTGGGGGATTTTTTTTGGACTTTTTTGAGATTTTTTGGGGGAAATTTTGGGGTTTTGGGGGGGAATTTTTTGGGAGTTTTTGGAGAATTTTTGGGGTTTTTTTTGAATTTTGGGGGAATTTTTGCATAATTTTTGGGAATTCCTTGAGATTTTTTTGAGGTTCCTTGGAATTCTAGGAAAACTTTTGGGAACTTCTGGGGATTTGGGGAAATTCTTTGGGATTTTGGGATTTTTGGGGATTTTTTTAGGAATTCTTGGGGATTTTTGGGGGATTTTGGGGGATTCTTTGGGAATTCTTTGGGATTTTGGATTTTTTTTGGTAATTTTTGGGAATTCTTTGGGATTTTTTAGGTTTCCTTGGGATTTTAGGGGGATTTTTGGGGAACTTCTGGGGATTTTGGGGGAATTCTTTGGGATTTTGGGGATTTTGTGGGAATTCTTGGGGAGTTTTTGGAGGATTTTGGGGAATTCTTCGGGATTTGGGATTTCTTGGGGGGGATTTTTTAGGAATTGTTGGGGATTTTTTGGGGATTCTTGGGGATTTGGGGGAATTCTTTGGGAATTGTTGGCGATTTTGGGGATTTTTGGGAATTCTTTGGGATTTTGGGGATTTTTGGGAATTCTTGGGGGTTTTTTTTGGAGATTCTTTGGGATTTCACAGGATTTTTTGGGATTTCTGGGAATCCTTTAGGATTTTGGGATTTTTTTTGGGGGGGGAATTCTTTGGGGCTGAGAATTTTTAGGGACCATAAATTCCCGCGTGGGGACGTGAATTTCCAACCGGGAAAAGCGGGAATTTGGGAAGAAATCGGCGAAATTCCACGGAAAACGTGGAGAGGCCGGAATTCCCGGCTTTGGAGGCTCGGGAATTTGGGAAAAGTTGGGAATTTTTCCCGGGATTTTCCAGAACCTTCTTCATGAAGACGGAATCCTGGCGGGAACATTTCTCCACCTTCAGCTTCAGCACGGAGACGTCGCTGACGGAGCTGCAGGAAAAACAAAAACAACAATTCCCGGGAAAATCCGGGAAATTCAGGAATTCCCGGGAAAAATCCGGGAAATTCAGGAATTCCTGGGAAAAATCCGGGAAATTCAGGAATTCCCGGGGTCGGATCCGTCCCGGAGCATCCAAAGGGAGGGGGGAAAAAAAAAACCCTTGGAAAACTCATCCTGATCCCAAATATCCTGGATTTCCCCATCCCAGATTTTCCTTCCTGGGTTGGATTTTACCAGGAAAAATCTGGGAAAATTTTGGGGAAAATTTAGGGAAAATTCCTGAAAAAAATCTGGGAAAATTAGGAAAAAAATTCCAGAAAATTCTGGGAAAATTCTGGGGAAAATTCCAGAAAATTCTGGATAAACTCGGGAATTCTCGGTGCTGGATGGGACGGATCCATCCCAGAAAATCCAATGGAAAAAAAACTCTTGGAAAGCCCATCCCAAATCCCAGGTATCCCGCATTTCCCTTTTCCCTGGATCCTCCGTGATCCCATCCCGGATTTCCCTTTGTGGAATTCCCAGGGAAAATTCCCAGGGGAAAAAATTCCTGGGGAAAAAATTCCTGGTGGAAAATCTTTGGGAAAAAATT